AATACTGAAAGCAAAATGGAACAAATGAATCTATCTGTATGCTGAAATAGTGGCATGACCACCCAGAGAATTATTTTAAGTGACTTTTAAACACAGTAATTTTACTATACATCTCTAGTGGGATATACCTTAAGGGCCCTAAAGGTAACTGCAAAAATCTTAAACTATTTTCAGTAATCATATGGTTTAAGGTACTACTAGTAATGTAATTCTGAGACTATTTTGCACGTACTGAAGACAAAGCAAATTAATTGTGCTTTATCAGTAGTAACCAAGATTTTCAGTATGGAAAAAAGGAGATGGAAGATCAAAAGGTTAAACAAAAACTTTGTGTACTGAATTTTAATTAGAAGTGTCAGCAGGCACTAGTGATATATTTTACCTGTTGAATATATGATATACAAATAAATAAATATATGTGCATGTATTTCCTACTTCTGTCCACTGAAAAGGCCTAGCAATAGTGACCAACCCAATAGGAAGTGCTTAGGCTGAGGTTTCCAAATGTAATTTCCCACTTGAGGGAACCAGGGCTTCTTGCAGAAATGGCTGATTCCAGATGAGGGACAATAAATGTACAAGATGAACCTGGTACATTGTGTCACGCCAGAAATCAAGGAATTACTGGGGACTACTGAGATTATGTCAGAAAGACTCAAGAGCTAATATGAAGAAGCTAAAGATGGGGACAATCTGAATATCAATAAAAATAACCGCAAGTGATTAAAAGATGTCCAATTTGTTTAATCCCATAAATTCAAAATAATATGTACTCCCCCTTCCATCTTCCTTCCCCCAAAAAAACCCCACAATCACACTTCACTGGTCACCTTTGGAGGATGCTAGGTAACCACCTCTTTAATTTGAAAAGTGGTAAATAAGAAGAAAGAATATAACATTTATCCTACTTTTCCTGGGCGAACTGCATTTTAGGATTACCAAATGAGTGTTCAGGAAAGTTTTTCTCTTTCTCGTTACTAAACAAAGAAGAAATGACAGATTAGAATATAACCATTTTGCAATTCCAAATTATCAAAGAATGAATTTAGGAAATAATCATGAATGGATGTGACTATCCAAAAGCGAGAGGCAATCAAAGATTTTCTGTGCTTCTTGATAGACATATACCACCATCTATAGAGCATTTTACAAAAAAACAAACAAAAAACAAAACCAAAAATATCCTGAATCAGATTAAGCCTCTATCTAACTACTAAATACAAGAAATACAACAGAGGAACACATTAAATGTTACCATGGGGATCTAATCACCAAAATCTAGGCTGTTAGAAACTCTGCAGGACAAAAAGTTAGTTTCTTCAACAAATAAATTATAATTAGAGAGAGGGGAAAAAACAAAGAAAGACAGAGACAGACATATGTAAGGGAACCTACAGATTTAAAGAGATTTAAGAGTCATAACAGCTACTTGTTGATAGTATGGACCTTATTTGAATTCTGATTTAAACAACCTATGAAAACACATAAGCTCACTCCAGACTTTGATTTGATTAGGAACATTTGAACACTGAGTTAATACTCATAAGGAATAACGGTTCAATTTTGGGGTATTATAATGATATTGTGATTATGGCTACAAAAAGGAGGCTTTACGTATAGAGATATATATTGGAATATTTACGGATAAGATGATAAAGTGTCTGGAATTGGCTTCAAAATAATCTGATGGGGAGGAAGTAGGTAGTATACAGATAAAACCAGGTTGTCTATGAGTTGATAATTCTTTAAGCTGGGTGGTGGGTATTATTCTCTCTCCTTGAATAACTGATAGGGTATTCAAAGAAGTGAACTTAAATACAAGATTAAATGAAAAGGAAGTTTTGGCAATTATTATGAAAAAAGTGGAGGGATTCGGCAAATGCTACATACATGTCACAAAGTGGAGTGCCACGGCAAAGCAAATACATTTTTTGAGAGGTTTAATGTTTAAATAGCAGTCTATCTATTCTAACATTCCTTCTATGCATCAGCAGTAAGACAGGTTAGAGTTTCCTACAAATGCCTCCTAACAAAGAGGCAAGACTCTCCCAGGCAAGAATACATCCCAGCACCAACCAGAAGCAGCCACCAAATGAGAAAGGGCTGTGGTGGCAGCAGCAGATAAGGTGGGAGAAGTGCTGTGGGTAGAGTCTGACACCCAGATCTGGTCAGTGTGGTTGAGGAGGGCCCCATTCCCATGGATGTATGAACCCACATGGTTTCAAAGCTTCCCCAGGAGTCTGTGCAAGTGAAGCAGCGTGAAGAATGACATGTTGTCAACAAAAATGTGAAAGAAACCCTTTCGTGGAAAAAGAAGACTAAAATCTTATGATGTTAGTGTGGTTATTTTTATTTATGTTTTTCCTGACATCATTATACGTTTTAAGTAATAACATTAAAATCTGATTTTAAAAAACAACACAAATATTTTAAAAGTAATTTTAAGGCCTATTAGGAGAGTACTACTCTAATGAGAGTAGCCTGAACTATGAAACAAAGACCAAGGAACTATTAAAGAAAGAAATTCTGAATCTTGAAATGTAAGAGTAGAGCTTGATACCCTACTAGTTATTCATGATGACATTATTTTAGCTTTACTTTTTTCCCCCGTGAAAACCTGAAGTTCGTATCAGTGGTTCTCAAGAGAGGACTGCATATTTCATAGGAAAGAGGTAGCAGTAGGCAGCTACAATTTAAAAATAACTCCAGGTGATTCTGACGCACACTGTGGCCCCACTAGAGGACCACTCCTTTCTGGGAGGTCCCTGTAGAGTGGCTGTCTGAGGCCTGTGTGCAGTTAAAATGCACCTGAGATCATCAACATGGAAAGCTGGCCATCACTACTTCAAACACCCCTGTAAATTCAGCAGAGCTGCCATGTCAGACAAAGAATAATGAAATCTCCCTACAGTCCTTCACAACTCAAACCATGTCCCTGACTGCCCAGCATGGGGCAACTTTGCGCTGTAAGATAGTAAAGTAAGAGCCAAAGGGGATCCCGCTGCAGGCCATCTGATGACAGGTACACACACATATCTGCCTATGTGCTCCTATTTGGTGGAGGGATGATGACAGACAAATGACTGCAGTGCTCTTTGTGGTCAAACTTGTGAGCATCATAGAAGAGGACTTGAAGACAAGTATTTGACCAGACGCCAAAGACACTTCTTGCATCTCTGCAATCTTCTTTCATCCCCTGATGTCTGAGACTATTATGGCTTCTGATAATGCTGACTAACTCAGTTTAGACAAAACATACAGACCAACAACAGCATCCTTCACTATAACTGATCCCAAGTTTCATTCCTGCAATGGCCTTTCACGCCAGATAGAGCTGTTTCTTTGATAATTACAGTGTCCACAAACCTGTTCTTCTCCAGTAAGAAGGGGGAGGTGCCTTCTATACAGCATGCAAAATGCAGTGCACCGGGCTGAAGCCAGTAGCCAAATGCTCTACACATCCTGTGACTGAAGACGGTTTGGTTTCTAATAAGATCCTTCTTAGTAAGGATGCCCCTAACTATACAATCACATACACAGTGAAGCTTAGTCTATAAAACAACTTGGGCAGCAGATGAAAAGGAGTGGCTGCCCCCAAACACCCCATCATCACAATTCTATGACCCTCCATGGAGTTAAAAGCCTTGATAATATCAGGTAATGCTTCAGCACTAACTTTCAAATGACTTAAAAGTCACAAAGATTATCAACATTTATATTTAATACTAAAATTTACATCCATAGCAAAATTAAAACCAAATTATTTATTTTAGTTGAGCTCTGAAAGTTCTCTATATATTGGGATAATTTCTACTCCTGCTACTTTATTAATATTACTCTCCCAAATTTCCCTAAAGTAAAGGATTACATTTAGGAAACACATGGCATTACGAAAATTTAGACTTTCGACCATTCAAAGAATTAGTAGACATTTGCAAGTTACTCTCATATTTCCCATTCTAGTTTTCACCATGTTTTTAGGACACAGTCAATATGTTCTGTGTCCCAGCATGAACAGGACTTGAAGAGGAGAGGAGAAATTAGTCCATTTGTAAAGGTAAAGTACTTTAGGTACACCAAGGCACTGGCATCTTATCCTTCCACTTGAACATACAGAGTCCCTTTTCAAAGAAAGTGGCAGTAAAGGCACAGATTCAAGGATCTAATTAGTTAAACTATGATCTTGATAGGAAATGAGCAAAAACCTGTGGGCATGGATAAAAGACGTCTAGACAGGAAAAGCCCCTCATGGTATCTGGAATGTTAAGACCTGGGACGGACTACACACAGACCAGACTAAATATTACCTAAAACAAAAGCAAAAACAAAACATAACAGAAAACAACCAAATAGACAACTAAACAAAATTTAAAATGCCCTTTTGAAAGATCAGCCAGGCCATATTTCCCACAAGACAACTTAATTTTCATTACAATAATTTAGTTACTCTGGTCTTATTTAAATTTATATGCAGGCATTTTCTTGAGGTGAATTTGGCAAAGTAGGGCAAATATGGACTGCTGTGTCCATGAAAAGAAGATATTCTCACAGCTGAGCACACCATTCATATCAAATCAGAGGCCAAAATACCTGCATAGCCTTGGAAAGTAGGAGCATTGGATCAATAATATAGCAACTTCCTCCCTGATCCTACCTACCATTAAATATAGAAAAGCCTTTGGTCTGAGAGGCTTTGCCTATCATAAGCATTCCCCACCATAAGCATTCCCCACATAGCAAATCTGAATGAATCACTAGAACATTTTCAATTCTTAACTACTAGTACAATATTTGCATTCTTTTAAGTTTACTGGAATTATTATTTTGACTACTAAAAATATAAGCCCTCTCTATGTCACTCAGCCATAAGGCATTCAAATCAACCAGAGTTCTTAGTCAAAGCTGATTAAGAGGTGAATTAAGATGAGTTAATGGAATAACAAAATATTTGAAGATAAAATATCTAAGTGTATACACAGAAATAGAATTGTAACACTTACCTAATAGCCCCTTCTCCAGAGTGAAGGTTTTGTTTGTAAACATACATTCAAAAGCCACAATGTGAAAAATCTTATTCACTGTGTTGTGAGTCCCAACTATTCGAATATACCTGGGGGTAAAAAGAAAAGAAAATCTGTTGAAGAAAATGAGCTTCCATCGTAACGAATCCAAAGATAACAGATTAAGATACACTATGTAAACATACAGTGTACCAGAGCATGGACTAAAGGAGACTCTGAATTGGCTTCAGACCCTGTACCTGCTCCTTAGGGCTAGCTCCAACTGAGCCTGGAAGAATTACAGCAAAATTAAGGAGGTACCACTTTCCAGAGAATGAAGTAGAACTTAGATTTGGTTTACCTAGAAAATCAAACCAGGGATTGTTCAGCTCAACCCCTGAATGTCAGTACAACTGTATATCCATGAGACATTTACACTGGAGAATAACAAACAGCTTCTATCCTTGCTTTGTGGTTAGGAATGTGCCTGTGCACAGGTGCACAAACACACACAAAGTCAAATGCTTTCCAACTCAATGAAAGCTTTCATCCATTGGATGAAATGCATGAAATCAATACTGCTTTCTTGTTGAAAGTAAAAATCCACGGAAACTACTGAAAACCACTCACAGCTTCTTGTATTTTAATATTGCTCCTGAATCCTTGTTAGGAAGTTAACCCAATATACTTACGCCAGCCCCCCACTTGACTGCTAGGAAGCCTTCTCCTGACCAGAGAAAGTGATCAGCAGAAGTGACCCAGCCTGCTCTGCAGCCTCCCTCCTGGCCACACGGATCTGGCATCTGCATACAGTGCAGAGTTTCACAGGGCAAGTCTCGAGCCTCTCGGCCTGTTCACCCTCTCTGACAAACAAGCATTAACCTTGAAGCAACTTGCTCCTTTCACTCTTCAAAGGGATCTGACAGTTCACAGGTTAATGAACAGACAAACTTACTCTTCTGAATGTCACATAATTCCAGAGGGAATGTAATGTGCCACACACAGTCTTACTGGAATTCAAAAGAAGAATAAGAAAAAAAATAACTAGATTAACTGATAACGCTCTCTCAAATTATGAACTATGTGCTCTGAAGGATGGGGCATACTAAACGAACAGATTTCAATTAGGTGATGACAGACTGGGCAAGGTTTTAGTAATATCTTTGTTCCGCTATGTAAAACAACCTTCCACTTAGATGATACAATTTTACGTCTGAGTTAATCGCTGTTCACTAATTCGGTAATTTCCTTACATTTCTCATTACTCCAAGTTAACTGTATAATGTAAATGCCAATTGTAAAAATTCACATAAAAGAGGCTATATTTGGGGGTTTTGTCTCGTGGGCTATTTTCCCTCCTGTTTCTTCCAACCTGAATCTCACCGCATTCCCTGTGCACCTCATTTAGCCACCTGCTCCTTGACACAAGCTGATCGCTCATCTTCATAACCAATAGTAATACTTTCTCCTGGACTGGCTGCTCAGTGTTCCCATATCCACTGCAGGGAGACACCGC